CCCCCCCCCCCCCTCCATTATTCACCCGCACGCCACACACACACCCCCGCCCCCCCTTTCATGGAAGGCTGTGGTCACCAATTTGCCGTCCTAGAAGCTGTACACACCCCCTCCCCCTCCCCCCCTAAGAAGGCCCCTAAGAAGGCCCCTAAGAAGGGAAAAGAAAAAAGAAGAAGACGAAGAAAACACACAAATAATCATCCTGTTGCTAAAGAGTCCTCCTCTCACTCTCTTCTCTTTCTTTCTCTCTCGCTTTCCCCCTTTACTGGTTAGGGAAAGAGGGAGGTCGACCAGGGAATGATAATAACTTCGTCAAAGCGGAAGAACTTCGTTGAAAAAAAATAAACGAACGCCACCAACACCAGTGCAGATCGACACCCCCCCCCCTTCTCTCTCCCTCTCTCTCTCTCTCTCTCTCTCCCTCCTTCCCGGGCTTTACTATTACTAGCACTTGTACTGCTGCTACTGCCTCTCTCCTTTTGCCGTCGTTTCAGCTCCCTCCCAGACACAGAGCACACACACATACACACACACACACACACGCACAGTTGACACACACACCGCGTTCCCACTGCGTCCCACTCCCTAAAAGAAAGGGAAAAAACCAGATTGCACGCGAACTTGGCCGTCTTTGCATAACTTCCCTCTCTCTCTCTCTCTCTCTTTCTCTCCCTCTCTCCCCTCTCCCCTCTCCCTCTGATACGACGTACTCGTATTATTATACTAGTCTACGCCATCCTGTCTAGGAGACACCGCGCCTGTATTTTTCTCCTTTTGACGCGGCTCGCCTCCTTTCACTCATTTTCGACTCCTTCTCCTGCTAACTGCTGTCTCCTTCTTTCGAACTGGTTTCTCCACACCCACACCCACGCACACTCTTTTCTTCTTCTTTCTTCTTACCATCTCTCGCATCCCTTCAAAAGGGGCACCCCACACACACACACACACACACACACACTCCCAACGTGTTCATCGGTTCCAGAGGCCACTCTCGGTCGCGACAATCTTTCCCTCCCGCCTGCGAGTAATCCGTCATCCGACCAACCGACAACCCCTGATAACGAGGAAAGTCAACCCACCTCGAGACTTCTCCCTCTTGTCGCTCTCCCAAACAGTCATCAGCAAAGGAAGCATCGGAAAAGAAGAAGAGAAGAGAAAAGAGTCGTATTCACTTCCGTTCAACCCTGACGCCGACATCGTCGGGTCCGAGCCCAATTGCTCCCTCCCTACCGCCACCATGGCCAACCTGTATGCCCGCCATCTCACCCCCCCCCCCCCCCCCCCCCCCCCCCCCCCCCCCCCCGTCTCTCACCTGCCCACCATCACCTTTCCGCTGACAGCTCTGGCAGATTCGGTGCCGCCTTCCGCGACTTCTGGCATACGATGACCAGCTATGACCGACGTATGTCATCCTTCCCCTCCTCTCGGCCGCGCCGGAGAGGCGAGGTCAGGAGGGACGTGTGTGCTGACCACCCGCTGCAGACTCTACGTACGACTCACCACAGCGTTCCGGACGCCACGTTCCCCTGCAGGACGGCCGGACCAGCGGCCTCTTCACCGGCGTCGCCACTGCCTCCGACTCCCGACCCGACGTCAGCTCACCCTTCTACGACGAGCACAGCCGCGCGTCCCCCTCGGCCGGCGGCATCCCCGGCAGCCCCGGAGGCCCCTACTCGCCCGGCCTGCGGTCCATGGCCGCCAAGAACGCCAGCCAGACCGACGGCTTCGAGGTGCAGAGCCCGGGCGAGGTGCCCATGCAGTCCTTCGAGGACGGCCAGCCGCCGCCACCGCCCATCCGGCACTCGTGGAGGCGCATAGACGCCTGGGCCGAGGAGAACTACCCCGAGCTGTTCGACCAGCTCGGCGAGGGTGCCACCGTCAACGACCTCAACGAGCTCGAGCACCAGCTCGACTGCTCCCTCCCCCAAGACGTGCGCGAGTCGCTCATGGTCCACGACGGCCAGGAGCGCGGCGGATACCCCACCGGCATCATCTTCGGCTCCATGCTCCTCGACTGCGAGGAGATCGTCCACGAGTTCCAGAACTGGCGCATCGTCAACCAGGAGTTCCTGGCCGAGGCCCAGCACGCCGCCCAGCAGACGACGGTGCCCTCCAAGGCCTTTGGCGGCGGCAGCAGCGAGGCCTCGTCGTCGAGGCAGCGCGCCGCCTCGCAGGGGAGCAACCCGGACGAGTGGCGCCACAGCCTGCTGTCCAAGCAGGACTGCGTGCCTCCCAACGCCGTCCGCAAGGCCTACGCCCACCCGGCCTGGATCCCCCTGGTGCGCGACTGGGGAGGCAACAACATCGCCGTCGACCTGGCTCCCGGCCCCAAGGGTCGATGGGGTCAGATCATCATGTTCGGCCGCGACTACGACACCAAGTACGTCGTCGCCCGCTCGTGGTCGGCCTTCATCGCCTCCGTGGCCGACGACCTCAACAGCGGCAAGTGGTTCGTCGACGAGGACACCAACGAGCTGAAGCTCCGCGAGTTCAGGGAGACGCGCGTCGAGCCCGGCTACTTCAGCATCCTGCGGTGGCGCATGGACCAGAAGTACGGCCGCCGCGCCGCCCAGCGGAGGTCCATGGCTCCCCAGCCCAGGGGCGGCGCCGCCGGCTCCCCGCTCGGCTCGCGGTCGTCGTCGCCCTACGCCAGCCCCGTCGACGGCGGCGCCGCCCCGGACGCCCGCGGACGGTCCATGCAGCGCCTGCGCGACTCGTCACCCCTGACCAGCCCCATGCGCGGCGCCGGCTTCGGAAAGCCGCCTGCCCTCGGTAGGGTGACGGAGGAGACGCCGATCCCGGAGCTGATGACGGCCCACATCGAGCCCTCGAAGCTCGTCGAGGTCGAGACGCCGCTGGAGCAGCCGGCCGGCGCGGCCTCGGCCTCGGCCAGCAGCACGGCCGCCACATCTTCCACGGCGACGCCGGCCACCACGGCCCCCACGTCGACGACGTCGGAACCGGCCGGCAAGCCTGCACGGCCGTCGTCCGAGTCCAAGACGGGCAAGGACAAGGAGAACGTGGCGCCCGAGGCGGATGGCAAGACGGACGAGACGATGAAGGAGATTGAGATCTGATCTTTCTCTCTCTCCCTCTCCCTCCTCCTCTCCTGACCCTTTCTCTTCTGTCTCTGAAAAGTCACATGTACACAAACCTGCACCCCCCCCCCCCCCCCCCCCCCCCCATCTTTTCTTNTCTTTTCTTCTTCTTCGAGCGTCACCATCACTCTGGCTGACTTGCTGAGCAAAACGACTGCATGACTACCTTTTCTTCTTCTTCTCCTCCTCCTCCTCCCTCCTCTCACCTTCTCCATCACGCATCATAGGGAGTTTTCAAGAGTCTCCTCTCCCACGCTCCCGTCAGAAAATCCCTGTAACCTTGTCTCCCTCCCTTTTCTCTCATAATCCTTGTCCCCTAGTCTCTAATCCCCCAAGGTACGAAAAGGAGGAGAAAGACCTGTTTTTCTCTCTCTTTCCTGTTTCTTTTGCAAATCGGCGTTGGGCGGGAGAAAGGGAGGAAGGTGCTCTTTTTTCTGCTTGTATCTTCTGTTTTTCTGGTTTGCCTTTTTTTTTTCTCTTCTGCTTCCTCGTCTCAACACATTGTTTTCTTGTTCTTATCTCGCTTCGTAATTCCCTTCTTCTTCCTGCGCTTTCATATATCTTGTAACTTCTTACGGGACAGCACAGAGCACACACAGAGGATCGGGGAGGGGGAGGGGGAGGGGGAGGGGGGGAAGGCGATCCTCTGAAGCATAGTGTCCCGATGGATAGCATCATGTCCTCCTTTTTTTGTTTATATTTTCTGTATTACTGTAGGAGAATAGCACTGGTAATCTTCAACCTCTTCACCACGATGCACCTCTCTGGACTGCGTGGGCGTACTTGGGGTGGTGATCTGCCTCCGGCGGCCCCGTCGGGGACTGGCCTCGCTACGCTCGCACGTCGTAGATGAGGCGTACGGTACGAGGGGCAGGATGATGCGGAGGAGCGAGGGGTAGCGAGGAGTGCTCCCGGTAGGGCCGCCGAAGGCAATACTCACCGGAGCAAGCAATCCTCCTACCTTGAGAACAGTCCTACCTTGAGAGTAATCCTACCTCTGCAAGAGCAGCGAGCGCAGCGAGGAGTACCCCCGGCAGGTAGGGCGGCCGGAGGCAGTCGCGTCGCAGCGGGATGTGCGAGGAGAGGCGAGGGAGGAGAGGAGAGGCGAGGGAGGAGAAGATGGTGTGCAGTGTTGGCTCTAAGCCGCCGTCGTTTGGCATGCACGCATGAATGGCAAGGCATCGTTGTTGACTGACGAGCACCCTCAGCCGAGGGCGTGGGGGTCGAGTCCGTCTCTACACACGGGGAGAGAGAGGAAGAAAAGAAGAGTCCATGCATGATGGAAAGGAAGGATGATGACGATACAAGCTTGGTATGCAAGGCGCACATGATGAATGTATCAGAAAGAAGGGGGGGCGAAGAAGACAGATGCATTCGATGTAAAAGAGACGCGCGATAGACGGCCGCTGTGGAACCCGAGGCGCTTACACACCCTCTCCGACTCGTTACACGGGGGGGGGGGGGGGGGCGGCCGATGCAGGACTGCGCCTTTCCGGGCGGGAGGTGGACGATCGGTCATTGGCCTGGGACGGTGTGAGGAGTGGGAGTGTGGAGAGTGAATTTGATACACGTACATCTGATTGATTATACGGGAGCTGGTGTCAGCACTTTTTTTTTTTAAAAAAAAAAACGCTCTACCGATTCATTTCCTCATATTCCTATGAATACATCGTACATGCGCGATTCTGCAGGTAGCGTCGTGTCGGGCGCTTGTTGAGATGGGATCCCTCGGGGGGGTTGGTCCTGAGGTGATAGATGATCACGCTCCGTATTCTTCTCTCTTCTTAAAGAGAAGGTGTTGGTTGCTGTGCTTTGTCTCCCATATTCTTCCCTTCTCTTGTCGTCTCTGTTCTTATCTCATCATCATTATATCTCTTGACAATACGCCCTTTGTGTGTAGAAGAGATCCTCTCTTTGTCTCCTTACCTGTCCAGGGGGTACCCGAAGAAGATGCCCGCCCCCCTTCGATTCGAATATACACTCACACCCGTCGAGGAACCGTCGAGCGAGCAAGATGATCCGTGGAAGGGCAGGAACGTCGTCGATGTCGAAACGGGAGGAGAACGTGGCTCCAATGTCAGCAACGGTCCCTCGGGATCATCATCATCTTCTTCTTCTTCTTCTTCTTCATTCCCCTCCAAGTCGAAGGTCGACGGCGAAAAGAGCGGCAACGACTCCAAGTCGAGGATATGGCCTTGGGGCACCAAGTCGGGACGCAGCAGGTCTTGGACCTGGTGGTCCGACCTCGATCAAGATCCAAGTGAGACAGACAGACAGGCAGAGAGAGGGGGGGGGGAGAGAGAGCATAGGCACCCCCGATACCCAAGATCCCAACGAGATCCATGTCTCTTCAGCAAGATGAAACTGAAACTGACGCGTGAAGCGAAGAACCCACAACCATGCACGCGGACTGGAAGCCGCTATCCATGACGACGCCCATCCTCCTGGCCGTCACCGTCGCCTCCCTCCTCATGGTGGCCGCCATAGAGCTCCTCGCCCAGAGGAGCGGGAGGCAGGGCGGCCTGGCACTCTCCCCCTCCCTCGACGACATCCCCTCCTACGCCACCATCTCGGCCCAGTACGTGCCCCAGCTGCTCGCCGTCCTGTACAGCCTCGTCTGGAGCTGGATTGACCTGGATGTCAAGCGCATGCAGCCGTGGTACGAGCTGGCCAAGCCCGCCGGCGCCTCGGCCGCGGATTCGCTGTTCCTCGACTACCCTTTCACCTTTGTCGCTTCGGTCCCCTTTATCGCCGGGCGTCGGAGGTACGTCGTCTCTTCTTCTTCTTCTTCTTCTTCTTTCTCTCTTTTCTTCGTCCTTCACTCACCTTCTCACCTTCTCACTCTCTCTCACACACTCTCTCTCACGCTCTCTCACACTCTCTCACCCCTTTTCCACCTCTCTCTCATATGCCCTCTAGGGTCTTTCATGAAATATGATGTGTGCGTGTGTGTGTGTGTGTGCGTGTGTGTACCATATGTTGCTGACCTTGTCTTTTGCCCATGCCAGACACTGGCTCGTCTTGCTCTCGGGTACCGTCATGGTCGTCGTCTTTTGGGCCGTCACGCCCCTGCAGTCCGCTCAGCTGGGAACCGGCTCCGTCAACCATTCGAGCTACCTCGAGCTGGTCAACCGATCTGAGCTGGTCCCGGTGGCTCAGCAGGAGGACCTCCTCGGACCCGAGGTGCTCAACCTGATGTACCCGATTTCATGGCTGAACCAGTCCTATCCGGAATTCATGCTCCCGGACAAGGCCTTCCTCCCATTCTACCCGGAAGAGTCGTCCAATCTCACCGCCATCCAAGGGACGAATCTGACGGCGGCTACGACCCAATTGTGGACGGAACTGGACTGCTGGCCAGCCGCAGACATCTCGGTGCATGGTGGAAACGGAAGTATCGGCAACTCGACCTTTGACATTGACAGCGGAAGAGGTTGCAAGACCAACATGGCCATCCCAATCGCCGAAGGATACTCAATGTTATACGTGGGATACTACAGCAGCCCGTACTCCGATTTCTATCTGGGAACCACCGACTGTCCCGAAACACCTGACCACAAGCATCAGTTCCTCGCCATCTGGGCCCATGCGACGGGGGACCTCGAATACTGGAACTCGGCAAGCAACGTCGACATCACCGGCGCCTTCTGTCAGCCAAGGTACTTCAAGCAAGAAGTCCTCGTCACGGTCGACGCTAGCACGCTGAGGCCGTATCGAGGCTCTGCGAAGCCGTTGGGTGCTCAGGAGACTCTCGCCGACTCCGAATTCAACAGGACCGCTTTCGAGTTTCTTCTGGGGAATGGGATGAGCGAGACGATGAAGACACGAGACTATCCCTTCAACTTCGTCGTGGAACAACATCCAAAACTCGAGGGGCGCGACCTGATCCAACCCGTATCCAACATGGTCGGCTTCGCTCTGGCAGGCCAGGAGCTGAACACGACAGATTATGCGGACCAGGAAACGCTCCAGCGAGCATACAACGATGCCCATCAGCACCTATTCTCTGTCGCGGTCAACCAGCTCCTGGTGAACGGCACCGAGCTCGGCAATTCCACCGCAACAGCCACACGTCCGATGAGCGGAATCATTGTGAGCAGGGCAATCTCGGCAGCCCTGGAAGCCCTCCTCGTTGTGGTGGCTATCGCTACAGCCTTGATTCTCTGGCTGGCCAGGTCGACGAGGTCTAACCTGCATGCGAACCCATCCTCCATCGACAGGATTGCCGACATCGTCCGGGAGAGCCCGGAGCTAGCGGATTTCTTCTGCTCCATCAGTCACGCCGACGAGGACTCCATCGTCAAGGCGACTGAAGGCAAGAAATTTCGACTCATCCGAGACAACCCAGCTACGGCCCCGCGGATCATCGTGGACAGCTCTGTCGATCCCGCAGAGAAGCAAGATTCCGAAGCATCAGATGGATATTATGTCCCCGTAAGACCACTGTTCCTGCGAATCGAGATCGGAGTCGCTTTCGTAATAGCGGTTCTAGGTGTCATAGGTGGATTGGGTTATCTGAAATGGGCAGAGGTTCATTTCCACGGTTCGGCCACCCCCCCCCCCCTTTCCCTTCCCTTTCACCAATATCCGCTACACTCAATGCGTTGAACGTAGCCTGACGGAGAAGTCTGTAGGACTTCAACGACCGTCCACAAATCAGGAGGTCCAGCAGATACTCGAGAACTACATACCAACTGTTCTGTCGACCATGATTGAGCCCTTCTGGATCCTGATCAACCGCCTTCTCTGCGTCCTACAGCCCTTTAACCAACTCTGGCAAGGGAAAGCCAGGCCGAAACAGTCTGTATCCGCCACTTACACCTCTATACCGCCTCAGTTTGCCCTCTGGAGATCCCTTAAGTCAGGGCACGTCTTTCTCAGTACGGTCTGCAGCGCCGTCTTCCTAGCCAATGTCCTGACCATCAGTCTCCCGGCCGTCTTCACCGAGCGTGTCGTCACTGCCCGATACTCAGAGACATTTCACCCGACAGTTTCCGCCCAGTTCAACAACAATTCTGTACATGAGCTCCCGACATACCTGCTCAACTCTCTCATCACGACCAGCCAGTACAGCGATCACGCCTACTCCCTTTTGTCGAATATCTCTCAGAATACCCCTTTGCTCCCATGGACATCCCACGATTACTTCTTCCAGCCGTTCGAGATCACGCAGACGCGGAAAAACATGACAGTGGACTTTTACAGCATACGCACTCGAGGCTTCGGCATCCGAACCAACTGCACACCTGTGGCCCCCCAAGAACGATCGTTTGAACAGGCTGCCGAGCCGGTGGCGAGTCCTAACGCATCATTCTGCGGCGACGATTTGAAGATTGCCACTGGCAAAATGTACGACGAGACCTACCGGTCATCTTCCGGTGTCTCCGCCGTCGAGTACCTCGACGTCACCACGGGAGGCAAGGTTCCATCGTGCGATAGGACAGTGACGTTTGGCTGGGCCCGAGCGCAAAAGGCGGAAGATCTGAACGCAACGATCCGCACCAGCTTCGCCATCTGCGTCCCCATCTTCGAAACCGCCTTGTTCGACGTCGACGTCGACCCTGCCGGCTACGTTCAGGGATATACACGGGCCGGGAAACTCGAGTCCACGCTGGACTACCCCAACTCCGATGACCACATCGACGCCATGGTTGCCAGCTCCAACGGCATCATCGGGAGCGGGGTGACCAGGTGGCACAACGACACCCTGACCCGGGATTGGATCAGCCATCTGGTCATGGTCAAGACGGGCTCCAGGGCAGATCTGGACCCGCAGTTGGACGTCCCAAACCCGGAAGACGTGATCCCCAACATCGACCCGATATTCCGCACCCTGTTTGCCCTGCTGCTGGCGCTGAACAGGGATTACCTCTTCACGTCGGCGGGCAAGGACGAGGCCATAGGTGGCGAGCGCCTTGTTGTACAGACGCGCCTGTTTATGGATCAGGCCGCCTTGACGACCAGCTTCGTTCTCCTGGCTGTCAATGTCGTCATCGCCGTCTTCCTCTACTCCCGCAAAGCGCCCTTCGTTCTGCCCCGGATGCCGACGACCTTGGGGTCCATCATCACCTACATTGCCCCAAGTCGACTGTTCCTTGAGGAAAAGTCTGGGAGAGCGTTGGACTCAACAGCAAGGACATTCAGCTTTGGTCGGTTCATAGGCCGTGATGGAGCAGCTCATGTAGGAATCGAGGTGGATCCGCACGTCGTCCCCATAGATCCTGCTTCCTTCGGTAAGCCGGCAGGGAAGCGTTGGGGAATATTCGGCAAACGGAGTGAAGAGACTCCATTTCACAGCGGGCCCTGGCTCTAGCAATTATAGTGACCACACGGATTCATATCAGTATCATATATATCACATATGCTCAGTCCATTTTTTTACCATCATCTAAGTTCAGTTAACCTCATGGGTGGCTGCTATTAATTCCACCACATATGGCGATACACATTGCCTTTGAAAAAAAACCATGTACTTTATTGGTCTAAAGAAGAAATTGTACTTGCGGCACCATCTTGGGTGTACGCTGAAGAAGAAGATATACAGTCAAAACACAAAAACCATAGAACGCCCCCAGATCGTGACCAAATAAACCCTAGAAATCGCGTGCTACCGGACTTGTCCACGTCACGGTCACTTTAAACACGGAGGGGGACGGCGCGGCGCCTGACGGCCGCGGCAACAGAGAGCTCAGAGGACTCGCCGGCGACGCAAGTGGTGCCTCCAGCCATCTGCATGACCTCGGACCAGACACCACTAGCACAACGCTGATAGGAGCTTCCGCCAATGCAGTCCCAGGTGCCCTCGGAGGAGCAGGCAGAGCCGGCAGTGTGGCTGCTGCCGCTGCCGCTGCCAGTGGGGACGGCAGCAGAAGACGTGGCAATGGTCGTAGGTTCAGTAGGAACAGCGGAAGTGGCAGTGGCAGCAGGTTCAGTGGTAGCAGGCTCAGTGACAACGGCTGAAGTGGCAGTGGCCGTGGCCGAAGAGGCAAGGAAGATACCACCGGAAATCGACACTGAGATAGACACGGCGGCAGTGGTCGAAGGCTGGACATCGGCTGTTGTAGTGGGCTCGCTGGTCTGTGTGGGCTGGGCATCACTGGCGGTGGGGGTGGATCCAGAGGCACCACAGTTGGAGCCGATCGGGGCACCCCAGGCCGTGGTTGCGCCGTTTTCCTGAGCGAGGTACTGTCCAGGGTCGGGGAACTGGAGGTCCTTGGAATCGGCCGTTGAGCACTCGTTACCGATGTTGGCGACGAACATGTCGGGAAGTGTGTCGAGGAAGCTGTCGTCGTCGCTACCTCCAGTAATCTCGACCGAGGCACAGTTCATGTACATCTCGCGATTGCCAATCTTGTTGAACCAGGACCAGGCAAGGACGTAGTCGCCACTGGGCATCTCATCGGGAATCTGGAATTCGTAGGTGTAAGGATCGGTGGCGGCAGCGTTAGAGCCAGGAAGATTTCCTGCCTGGTCGCGAGCAGGGCAGCCACCCTCGATAGACTTGATGACTTTCCAAGTAGAATCCTTGGTGGGGTTGAGGTCAGTCGTGACTGAGACTTGGCACGAGCCACCACCGTGGACGGCGGTTCCCTCGAAAGCGAGCTCCTGAGTGCTGCCGGCCTCGTAGGTGTTGCCAGCCTTTCCGCCAGGGTTGGCAACGTTCTGGCAGGGGAAGTTGGAACCAGAGGCATCCAGGGGGCTGTTCTCGAATGTGCCGTAGGGAACAGGGTTGGTCATGATGATGTGAGCACTGGCGACGGTGGCCAGGCCCATGACGGTGAAGACGTTGGAGAGCATGGTGAAGAAGTGGAATATGTCTTTTTGGTTTGTGAGATCCGACGCGTACCGGACGGTAGGATTGGATATGAAGAGATGTCGTCAAGACTGTTTGTAAAGAAAAGGTTGGAAAGATGTAAGTCCTGGATGTTGATGTTAGGCTCGATATCCTACAATGCGAAATAACTACCGCCACAAGGTGTTCATAAGGTCTCGCATGTTTCTTGGCGCAGAGCAAGATGCTCATATATCATCAAGAACAGAGCCTTACGCAGGGCATTGCTCATGGTTTAACTTACCAAGGAAGTCGCAGGGTCCTGAATGGAGTGGAATGCGGCCTGGTCGAGACAAATGACGAGACGGAAGAAGCGAGTCGAGGTGTTGTTCGATTGTTCGACTGTGGAGATATGCGAACGGGTTCACTGCGCCAGGCAAGTGAGGTAATGCAAGGTGATAGATGATGCTTGAAAAAAGGAGGACTAGCCTCTCTGGAAGGAATGAAAAGAAGGAGTGTAGTGTCTCGACGACAAGACTCGCGAAAGGATGGACTGGAGACGAAAGAAGTCTGTGAAGAGGAAGGGGAAACAAAACGGGAGACGGGGGGGGAGAACGCCTGGCCTTATATGTATGCCACGATCCAGGTCAAGGTGGCCCACGACAGAGGTTTCAGGAACCCATGCTCGCATTGGTGTCGTCCCGGAAGACCAAGCAAAAATACCATATCCACTTACAGGGCCCATGCTCAATGATGTGCCTCGTCTCTCCTTTCTGGCCTAGTTTGCTCGTAAGTAGAGACAGGACTGATGAGATACATCATTCTCTGTATTACTCCGTACTTGGCAATGCCGCAGGGGGCAGGGGGCAGGGGGCATCCAAATGGTTGGTTGATACAAACCTATATCCGTCCGACTAAACATTAACAAAGCCCGGCAGACAAACTGCCAGGGGCCGCCGCCCAAGGAAGAATTTACTCGTCCAAGGGCTCCCGTAGCGACCTGGGAGGAGCCCTAATAGGGGCTTCGGAGTATGAGTCTGGATCGTCGAGGGAGGTGCGAGCATCTTTGGCTGGTGATAGGCTACGCTAATGTTTCACGGGCGAGCTGTAAGTCACGACCAAAGAGCGATGCCGGATGCCGACTGGTCAGCTCCAAGCCGCAGCCTAAACTTCCATCACTCTGTCCCTGGGAAAACAGCAGCCGACTTTTTTCTTTCTCTTCTTCATTCGCCTCCATTTGAGAACAGAAGATGGCTTCTCTCCGCAATGACGATCAGGGGCGACGGCTACCAGCGAGATTACCAAAATATGGAGCAATGGTACCAAATGGCAAAGGGAGAGAGGGGCGGAGGGGCGGCCGCAGTACACGCAGTGGAGCAGATACTGGCATGCCGAAACCCAGCCCTTGCTCTGCTATTACCACGTAACTAGACGTGGTCCCCGCCGCACAGCCTTTTCAGCCATTCCGCTCATAACGGTCCTAAATGTTCCCGGCATCGACAGCAATGCACTGCGGCAAACCGGCGGAGGGGCGCGCAAGGAATGGACATGGTGATGAGAGTTTTGCAACACGTCTGAGCTTCGGTAGCGGCGCATAGCCATCCAAAGGGTGCCGTCCGATGCTACCAGCAAGAGTCAGCAGTATACGTGTCTAGGACTCTAAAACAACGGCCGTCTTTGCTGGCAACGCTTCTGTGCCCGATGACCCGTAGCAACGGTCATGTATGACCCGGCAGCCAGTCACTTGTAGGACCTTTGACCGCCGTATTGGTACGGCGCGAATCCGTAATGTTACATTGGCCGGTGCTCGACCTTTCGGGAGAGTTAGTGCAGGGTCACACATACCAAAAAAAAGCAAGCTAGGCCTCTCGAGCAGGCCGCATACTTCTGTGTTGTCCGACGTCTTCTCTATCCTCGCACATACACGCGTTGGGTTAACGACGACCTCTTCCCTCCTCCCATGGTTTGGCCACTGACCGTTTTGACCTTTCGCCCTGGCATCCACTTGGTTCTGAACGCCAGGCACTGTAAGCTTGGCACTTGACGCCGGGAACTTGGAGCTTGACGCCAGGAACTTGATGCCAATAAGCCAGGTAATGGGACGCTAAGGCACTCGGGCGCTGCCAAGATTTCTTGGTTGGTCCAAGTGGAGGCCCTGTCGATCAGCCCTTTTCGAAGCATTGCACGAGAGGCACAACTACGTAACCGTAGCCATAATTGGATGCAAGTTTTTCGTACTCGCATGCACGCATGACACCGCCTTCGGTGGCGAACCAAGAAGAATACGGGGGGGAGGAGAAAAAAGGAGCGGAAGAGGGGAACAGCTCTCTACAAGTCACAATGCAGTAACAATGCTGTGGCACCTTTCGTCATCTCAGCCACCGTTCAATATGGCGACATTTTATTTCCCGCTTGCAAGGGCAGGAGCGAGCCCTCAGAAAGCCACACGGCCAGAAAAGCAGCACAGGTACGACGCAACTAATACTCGTCGTAATTGCAATCGGCAGGAGCGACAAGGCTGGCAGGTACGAGCGTCGAGAACAATGCATCGGTAGCGAGGCAGGTAGCCACACGATTAGTGACTGGTGCCTGGTGCCTGACAACCGCAACGGCAAGAGCGAACGACACCGACTGACGCCATCTAGACGGGCCGACATCTGAACATGTTGAGCAAGCCATTCATTCCTCATTCGCCCTTGGCCGCCCGTTTGGGCAGCTGTTTAGCTGTTTCCCCGTTTCATGGTATGCCGACTACTTGTGTACATGAAGAACAATCGAAGGCTATCAAGTAGCATGCTGGTAGGGTAACATTACTTTTGTCAGAGTTTTCCCTCTTTTCTCTCCCTCCATCGTAGACGTGCCTTGGCCCATTGTGGTCCATCCATCCCTCCATGGACCATCATGGTACAATCACAGTAGCGTAGGAGCTGATTCCAGGCCGGGTCTCCCCCGGAATTCCCCTGGACGTAGTGGCCGGGCCTCACTATTGGCCTAGGCAGCGAGGACCCACCCCCGCTGTAGGGTCGAGGGACGATGCTGGATTAAGGTCCAATTGGTGCCCGGTAGAGGAAGCTACTGCAGGGGCCCGGCCATCACGAAACCGCCCATCGTTTCACGAAGTCTTTTGCCCTTTCTTTTTTCCCCTATTGGGCCTTTTTCAATTTGCCTCTAGTCTTTTCTCGCCCTGTCGTATCGTCTCCCTCCGCTCGCCTCTCTCCCCCCCTCTCTATCACTCCGCACAACGTCGGTAGCTAGCTCTACGCTACGCCACAGAAAGCCCACGCCAAAGAAAAACTCTCTACATGATTGGGAATGATGAAAGCGCGTCCCGTACGTGCGTTAGCACGAGTGCGGCGCCGTAGCTGTAGCCTGTAAGCCGTATTATCCCCCTAGCCTGGTCTGGGCCTATCACCAACCAAGTGTTCGTCTGGTTTTACCTGCAGGAGAGTAGATCGTTGGACCTGAGCGCACGCTTCCTTATCTGAGCTTTGACACCTTTTTTACCTCCTGTTCTTATTCTTTCTGAGATGTCATTGAAACATCACATTCATCACTCATCTGCCTTGATGTGTTATATATGTGTGTAAGCCCCTGCGTACGATTACGACGTTGAGAGAGAAGAATGGTGTGAGACGGGTGCTACACCCCACAAGCCCATGATCGCGGTCACCTGCAATATCACCTAGGTCACTCAACCAGGCAGGTATGCAGCCTCTTAAGCGACCTTTGTGGTCCCATCTATCTCGTCCACCTTGGCATTCGGCACGTGGGCGCGTTGCACTCGTACTCCTGTACAGCGTCGTACCAGGCATAGAGGGGACAAGGAGGGAAGGAAGAATCGAGTGGGGAGAAAGTGACAAAAATACCTCAGACAGAATTCAATACCATGATGATGGTCGTCCAAGAGTAGTAATATTAATCCTACGTTAGGATCGGAATATAGCCCAGTATTAGAAAAGTGGCGCGGGTGGCAATTCATGCGCATCGAGGCGAGAGGCGTATTTTCAGCTCTCTTCCCATGGGCTCACTATAATCCTTCTTTCCCGTTGCCACCCTTGTGATATAGAGGAATCATTGCCGCCTGTGAGGGCGACTCAGAATCAACCTTGCGCAACAGAGAAACGCATTATCACAGCGTGATATTACGATGCATGTAAGGAGTACGTCGCAATGCTACAATTTGGATACTATCGTCATAATACGAATTACTCCGTACGTCGTCACGTCACCCGCCGGGGCACGGTTGCCTACACAGGATGATTCAAGATCACAATCTTTCAGCAGCTTTTGTAGTCATTTATTTTTGTCGATTAAAATAACATTTCTGGTAATATTGGGTGGGATCGGGGGGGGGTAGAGACGTTTGACGGTGACCGGTGTCGTCGGCCGCCACGTAAACCACCACCTTCCTCCCTCGTTTACAAGTTTCATGTTCAAACAGGCTGATCCACCGATGTGAGGAGTAATACACAACAAGTGCTCACTTGCCATCCGGCTGCCGTTTTTCCGTCTCGCTGTCTCTCGTATGCATGCGATTTACTTGAGATTCCCTTAAGGTACGTTTGCTTGTTTGTCTGCTCACTCGTCCTTGGGTTCTCCTCACGCCTGCCTCCTCAATCTGGTCCACATGTTGCATCCTCTGTGTCGGCTACCGTCGTCTGACGGCCATTCAATGTCAGGTATTCAACGCAATAAGACACCTCAAAGACAATTATTCGGTCCTCCCGTTCATGTTACGAGACGTCGTGTGCGCATCTCTCTGCCATAACTCGCGGCTGACACCCTAGTTCATCAGATTCATGACCTCGATCTCGTCATCATTTGGAGGAAACACGAGTTCACTGGCTCAGAATATTGTTCGGTCCATTTGCGTCGCTATGCTCGAATCTAGACAATGTCTGAGAAGCAGTGGTTCATTTGATAGACATCCTCCTATCCCGCTCCCAACGTTCGTACCCGATATCCAATAATTAGATGTGTGGTCAACGTGGAAATCGATATCGTCATCGTTTTCACTAACTAACCACGGCTCTGTCGCTGGGGTCTGGAGAGGAGGGGAAAGAGGTGAAAGATGTCAGTCATGTTTTTGGCAAAGGGGATGGATGGCTGGGGAATAACCCGCCTTGTTCATCAGCCCAGCTACCACTGGACCAAAACATCATCTTTTCCTTGCGAAAGTGTTCAAAGTCCCATTCACCCCGCTCCAGACGGTTGGAAAGCAAAAACACGTACGCAACGGCGTCCTTCTCCTCGCCGCCCGTCAACGCCGTCCCATCCTGGACAAGTCTGACCTTGACGCCTTTCCGCTCGTACTCGGACCCCTCAAAATAGTCGAGCTTGACCAAGTTGGCATCTGTGAGGCCCGTTGCGTAGATCCCGCGTACAGAGTGTCCTTCCTCCTGGATTATGGCAGGATAGTCGGCTGACTTGACTCGGTGTCGGCAGTAGCCATGGAGTATGGCCGGGGAGAACGTGTGAAGCTTCTTGATGGCATCTGGCGGGTTTGCGTCACCGTAGCAGACGCTGTAGAAGACCTCTGGTGCCATCTATAATTTGTTAGCATCGTGCTGGCTTGTCTTATATAGGGCCATATTTGGGATACCAGAGTGCCTTTTCTATCATCAGTACATGATTTCACAGAGTATCGGGAGAGACAACTAATCGTACCATAGAAAAAGGCAGTGTTATCCCCGCTCATCTTGTCGGGGGAGTCGCGGGGTTGGAGAGATGAGTTCGTGGCGTAAATTTTCTACGCTGACGTGACGTCGTAACACAGGGGGGGGGTTAAAACATGTTGGGAGTTGATCTAACGAATACAATAAAGAATGTTGTGACCGATGTCAAACGTGAGGGATGAGTGGATGAATGGTACCTCGTTAGAGCTTCCGCCGTGTTCTCTTATCTAAGCAATGAAAGAGATACCGGGTGAATATGGAGTAGTCCACAAGCACGTTTCTGAATTGAAAGTTGGAGGTACGAATGACTTCACAATTGGACTTAATGAAACTACAGTCTTTTCAGGTTGGGAATAAAAACCAAACCTTTCCCCGGAAATAGATAAACAAACGATAAGTGATATTTAAGATAAATAATGTGACGATGAAAAAGCCAATGAATCAGTGTGTAAATAGTTTGAACGTCTGGTACCAAGAATGGCTTATCTAGTGATTCAGGGTAACGTTCGTGAAGTAAGGGGAAAAGTCCCCCACTAAGAGAGATAAGATACCAATCTTTATCGATTAGATAGGAGTACCAGGGGACTGGTCCATGTACGGCTGCAAGACCACTAGAGAGTGAAGCTAACGATACGCCCGTTGCAGTCACTCTACGCCCGGATCATTAGTTTTTCCTCTCCTAGCGCCGTTGGAATTGGCGACTGGTCCCCCCCGCTACTTGTGCTTCCATGATTTTTGGACGCGCAGACGCTCCGTCTTACTTGCCTTTATTAGAAAACCGCCTGCGCATCTACCCATTTTCTCATCAATCTCTGGTCAGCAACATCACATATTCAGCGACCAGAATACACCTACGACCCCGAAATTTATTAAGACGAACTGGAATAAACGCTAAAGCTCATAGGAGATTCTCTTTAATAAACGAGCTCTGTTGCTTGCCTTTTTCCTTCGCGACGACTTCGCGCGAGCCCTCGCCCCCGAGGCTTGCTGCCTTCCTTTCGAGCATCACCACAAGAGTCACCCAGCGCATGCAACGTTCTGGGGCGCCTTGTGGACGCCGATGATGCAGCCATGTCGGGGACAACTATTGACGATGTCGTAAAACGACTGAGTAGCGCAGACATTGGTACGCACCATTTTTTTGAGCATCACGCGCGCGACGAACCTCTTCTATCTACACACTCCCAAATGTACGACTGCTGACTATAATCCTCCTCTCCTTGATCTAGAAACAAGACTGAAAGTAGAAGCTGCCACGACCCTGCGCGACAGCTTGGAGCACTACACGAATGGCCCCATCTACGCCCCATTCCTCAAGAAGTTGATGCCCATCTTCGTAGGCATCCTGAACGGACCATGCACATTTCAGAGTAACTCTATGGAGCAGGTCAGTTCGGCCAACCCTTCAGTATTTTATATGTGAAAAGTTCATCCTGCTAACCAAGTCCCGATACAGAGGCTCCGACACTGTATCCTAGAGGTTCTGCATCGTTTGCCCACATCCACCTCTCCCATCGAACCGTTCGAACCGTTTGCGCCCGAGACAGTCGACTTGCTGATACAGCTTGTCCGCAACGACAATGAAGAGAACGCGACACTGGCTATCAAGGTCGTCTCCGACATAATGCGACACCAGCCGAAGGCGCTGAAGGACCATATCCAAAAATTCCTGAACCTCATCCTGGAGCTGTTTGAGCAGATGGGGAACATTGTCAAGGAACAGCTCGACAACCCGTCCGGCGGCGTGAACCCCCAGACCGGTGCACCCTCGACGCCGGGAAGCTCGCAGATCAACTTTCAATCACCGCGACCAGGCTCACCCCCGGCGGCTGTTGCCGAGCTTGGAGCCGACCCTCAGCAGCAAAACCGCCCGTTGCTCAAAGGCATGAGGTCCTTCAAGGTCATTTCCGAATGCCCCATTATCGTCGTCTCGCTATTTCAGGTATATCGAGCCGCCGTGGCCCAGAACGTGAAACTGTTCGTTCCGCACATGAAGAATGTGCTGTCGGTCCAGGCCGCTGCCCAGCAACAGGCTCATGCTGATGCGGCCGCCAAGAACCAAGTTCACATTGGCGTGGCTGCTGGCATCAAGAACAGGGCAGCCTTTGGGGAGATGGTCACTGCTCAGGTCAAGACGCTTAGTTTCCTGGCTTACCTGTTGAGGCAGTACTCCAAGGAGGTGCAAGACTTTCTCCCTACACTGTCCAGTATTGTCATCCGACTCCTCAGGGATTGCCCGAGGGAGAAGTCGGGGACCCGCAAGGAACTCCTGGTAGCCATCCGTCATATCATCAACTACAACTTCAGGACAGTCTTCATTCCCAAGATTGACGAGTTGCTCGATGAGCGTACCTTGACAGGCGACGGCTTGACGGTCCACGAGACGATGAGACCTGTAGCCTATAGTATGGTCGCAGACCTGATCCACCACGTGCGAGACTCCTTGACCCCTGCGCAGATCCGGAAGACGGTTGAGGTCTACACCAGGAACCTCCAGGACAACTTCCCGGGGACCAGTTTCCAGACCATGAGCGCCAAGCTCCTGCTAAACATGGCCGAGTGTATCGCCAAGATGCCCAACAAAGCGGATGCCAGGCACTACCTCCTCATGATTCTGAACGCCATTGGCGACAAGTTCGCTGGCATGAACCGCCAGTACCCCAACGCTGTCAAGTTGTCCAAGATTTACCAAGAGCAAGCAGAGTCGGGTGCCACGGATACTTATTTGGCCGACAAGGAGAAGGTGCCGGACTGGGATGAGACCGACATCTTCAACGCCATGCCTATCAAGACTTCCAACCCCCGCGACAGGAGCACAGACCCTGTCATGGACAACAAGTTCCTCTTCCGAAACCTCATGAATGGTCTTAAGAACACCTTTTACCAGCTCCGCACTTGCAATGTGGCCACTTCGGTCGATCTGGCTACGGCTCCCGCCCACTGGCAAGAGGTCTCCTACGGCTTCACTGCCGAGGAGGTCAACATCATTGTCAAGCTCTTCCGCGAGGGCGCTTATGTGTTCCGCTACTACGAGATCGAGAAGCCTACTTCGGAATCCCAGTACGCATCGCCAGTCGAGTACATGGCCAACTTCTACATGGTTTCCAGCAGCAAGGAAGAGAAGGAACTTCTAGAGACGTTCGCTACCGTCTTCCACTGCATCGACCCGGCCACCTTTCACGAGGTCTTCCAGCGCGAGATCCCCCACCTCTACGATATGATCTTTGAGCACACGGCCCTCCTGCATATTCCTCAGTTCTTCCTGGCCAGCGAGGCTACGTCGCCCAGCTTCTGTGGCATGCTTCTCCAGTTCCTGATGGAGCGCATCGACCAAGTCGGCTCAGCTGATGTCAAGAAGGCATCCATCTTGCTCCGACTTTTCAAGCTGGCCTTCATGGCCGTCACCCTCTTTGCCGGGCAGAATGAACAGGTGCTCCTGCCTCACGTTGTCAACATTGTTACCAAGTCGATTGAGCTGTCCACCAAGGCTGAGGAACCTATGAACTACTTCCTCCTCCTTAGGTCGCTTTTCAGGAGTATTGGCGGTGGCAAGTTCGAGCAGCTCTATAAGCAGATCCTGCCTCTTCTCGAGATGCTGTTGGACGTTCTCAATAACCTCCTCATGGCTGCCCGCAAGCCCTCAGAGCGGGATCTCTATGTTGAGCTTTGCCTCACTGTACCAGCTCGCCTGAGCCACCTATTGCCACATCTTAGCTTTTTGATGCGCCCCTTAGTCGTCGCCTTGCGCGCGGGCACAGAACTTGTCGGGCAGGGCTTGAGGACTCTGGAACTCTGTGTCGATAACCTCACTGCCGACTACCTTGACCCTATCATGGCCCCTGTGATCGACGAACTCATGACAGCGCTGTTCGACCACCTGCGGCCAGCCCCCTACAGCCACTTCCTTTCCCACACAACAATGCGCATTCTTGGAAAGCTGGGTGGTCGAAACCGCAAATTTGTGACGAGTTCCGTACCCCTCAAATACCGCGAGTATGCCGACGACCCGTCCAGCTTCGATGTGAGACTCATTGGATCTAAGAAGGATCGGGCCTTCCCCGCCGAGCTGGGGATCGACTCTGCGATTCAGAAGATCATGGAGGTGCCTCGGGCTGGAAAGGCCACTCAGCAACGCCGGTACGACCCGTATTACAAGAAGCAGGCCCTCCATTTTATCAAGGCGCAGCTCAAGCTCAGAATCGGCTTTGACCAGTTACCTGAGGACCTACCGCGGATCGTTCGACTCCAAGCCCAAGACCTTCTGGCCCGTAAGGCTGACGTCAACTTTGCACCTTTTGAGGTGTCTGAACGCGAGAAGTCTATCACCAAAAAGGACGAGCAGGACCGGATTGTCAAGAGGCTTTTCAAGGCCGTTCTCTTCACAGAGTCCATGCCCGAACTCAAGGAGGAGTCGGATACCTTCCTCCTCAACGTCTGCCGCCACCTAGCTATCCTCGAAGTCGGCCGCTCTCTGGTGGATCTTAGGCGGAACTTTAGTCCCTTTGACCCCAAGGCCGGTGAGGGACCCGTCTGTATTGACACGCGGACACTGTCCGACGCCCTCGTGGAGTCCCTTGCATCGGATCATCCTGACGTCCGCGATGCTGCAAAGCGAGCCATTCGGGAGATGTACGACTCGACCGCCATCATCCTGGGGTCAGAAACCAATGTTGGACGTCTCCCCTTCTTCAGCCACCTGAGCAGCATCTTCTGCCACAGCTGCTACGAGGAGGAATGGTTCACCAAGACGGGAGGAAGTCTGGGAATCCACTTTCTGCTGACCGAGCTCGATCTTGGCGATGCGTGGGTAGCGTCGAAGCAGATGGAGTTCATCCGCGCCCTCATGTACGTCATCAAGGATATGCCGCAGGATCTTCCTGAAAAGACTAGGCGCCTGGCTCAGACCAGTCTTGAGGTCCTCTTGACGCGCATTACCAGGGGCATCAAGAAGGAAGACGTACTCCCCCTCCAGCAACAGCAGGGTCAGCCGCCCCCAAGGCAGCCGCGACCCGCCCAGATCTGCATGCAGCTGAACTCTGAGCTGTGCCATATGAGCAAGCATGTTCGCGAGACGGCTAAGAAATCGCTGGAACTCATCGCCAAGGCCGCTGGTTGCGAGGTTTGGGAGCTCCTTGAGCCCTATAAGGAGCGATTCCTGCAGCCAATCTACGCCAAGCCCCTGCGTGCCCTTCACTTCCCGACCCAGATCGGTTACATCAGCGCCATGACGTACCATTTGAGCCTCAAGAGCAACTGGATTCCCTTTGACGACAATCTGAACAGGCTGTTGGTGGAATCCCTGGCCCTTGCGGATGCTACAGACGAGTCACTCGCCAACAAGCCCGCTGAATTCCGAACCCATGAGCAGATTGTCAGCCTGAGGGTGTCATGCATACGTCTCCTGAGCACCGCCATGGGATCTGAGGAGTTCACCAACTCTACCACAAAAGCCAAGATCCTGTCCGTCTTCTTCAAGTGCTTGTACTCGGACTCTAAACCCACAATTGCAGCTGCCAACGATGCACTTAAGTCAGCGCTCGTCTTCGGCAGAAAGCTGCCTAAGGAGCTGCTACAGGGCGGCCTCCGACCCGTTCTTCAAAACCTCTCGGAGCCTAAGCGTCTGACAGTCAATGGCCTGGAGAATCTTGCGAGGCTCTTGAAGCTTCTCACAAGCTACTTCAAGGTTGAGATCGGTACCAGGCTTCTCGACCAGATAGATTCCATTGTCGACCCTGGCGCATGGCAGCCTATCTCGTTCACCTTCTTCGAGCAGCACCCGCAGATGAAGGTCATCACGGCCATCCTCAACATCTTCCACCTGCTGCCTGCGCAAGCTGAGACGTTCAAGGAACTACTCATCGACCGGTTCCTTGGCCTTGAGGAGAGGCTCCGCAGGACTCACCTGAGCCCATTCCGACTCCCCGTATACCGATATATGAATCGGTATTCCAAGGAGATATGGACCTTCCTGCTTGGCAGGCTGGACGACCTGAGATATGGCCGCTTGCTGAGCCAGGCGCTCAGTCACCCTGACAGTGCCCCGCTTCGCAGTGCCGCGTTTGCCGACATTGACGGCCTGATGAACAAGTGCAAGGAAATCATAGCTCAGGGAACGGATACCAAGTTTGTAGCCATTATCAACGCAGCACACGTCCTCGACTCGATGAGCCAGTACTCGAACACGAGCGAGTGGCTGGACAAGAAGGAGATCATGACCCTGCTCAAGAGCTTCGGGAAGGACCTCGAAAAGCATCAGCGCGTCCACACAATCCCGTCGCACTTGCGTCTGCCTGCGCACCAGGCTTCGGAGCAGCTCATGTCGCTCTTTGTCAAGTCTCTGGAACGCAACCCCAAGGACTTGGATGGGCTCCTGAACTTGGTAGAGCTGGTGACATCTGAAGAGCTCCGCTCCACCCAGAGACTATTCTCCTTCATCTACGAAAAGGTCATCTGCAGCGAGTCGGTCGACTTCTGGAAGATGGCCTTCCTCCGCTGCTTGGACGTGTACTCGGGCAAGACGGCGTCCAACAAGACCAAGCATTTCCTGCTCCACAACATTGCCAACCCCATTGTTGCCATGGACGTCATGCGGACCCGAAAGCAACCCGACCAGAATAAGGCGCCGAGGTTCATGGATCGCTCTGTCATCGAGGCCGTGAGCACCAAAATCTGGAAGGTCCAGCCCGAGATGACGCCGGACGACCAGGCACAGCCGGGTATCGACCACACCCGGTTCGAGGTGTTGCAGCTGTCTGCGATGCTTGTCAAGTATTACCACTCTCCGCTCCAGGAGATCCGGAAGGACGTCATCAAGTTTGGCTGGACCTTTATTCGGCTAGACGATGTCATCAACAAGCATGCCGCCTACGTCGTCATCGCCTACTTCATTGTCCATTACGAGACCCCGCCCAAGATAGTATCACAGGTGTACATGTCTCTTCTCAAGACGAACCAGAACGAGGGACGTGCCCTGGTGACGCAGGCACTGGAGCTCATCGCACCTGTTCTGCCTAAGAGATGTGGCCTCGGTCCTAATGAGAAGGTCCCCGCATGGGCCATGGCTCCCCGACGAGTGCTCACCGACGAAGGCTACAACTCCCAGCAGACGAACAGCATCTTCCAGTTCCTCACCAAGCACCCGGCTCTCTTCTACGAAGCCCGTGATAAGTACACGGTGTTGACCATCACCTCCTTGAGGAAGATTGCTGTGCCGCCCAACCCGTCTCACGAGAGCAGAAAGCTCGCACTGAATATGATGTGGCTCATCTGGACCTGGGAGCAGTGGAGGGTCGAGGGCAAGCCCGCTTCGGTGGCCGACCCGCGCCCCTTGTCGGAATCACCGACTGCCAAGAAGAGGAGACTCGACGGCGAGCTGGTGGTGCCGTCGCCTGCACCCTCGACCCAGGCACCAACGCCCGGGAAGCCAGACCAACAGCACCAGACCCAGCCCATGTTCCGGGCCAAGATGCTGAAGTACCTGGTCGAGTTCATTGCTCAGCTCTATGAGAGATACGAGCTACCGTCTGCAAAGCCCCGCCCCGAGCTTACGATGACGCTCCCGATGCCGGCGCCGGTGACGGAGCTTTGCAAGAAGGCCATGGCGCTATTCTACAACCTGGTGCAGCCTCAGTACTGGGGCGACCTCGACCTCGACCTCTTTCCCAACGTGACCGACGTCATCCTGGCAAGCGAGAAGGCACAGGCCGTCTTGACCACCGAGCCCACCGACAAGAAGCACGACGACAAGTTCCTCACTAACATCATCAACACACTGCAGGTCGTACGCATCATCCTCAACGCTAAGTCGGACGAGTGGATCCGCAACAACATACCCGCCATCCAGAAAGTGTTGGAGAAGAGCTTGAAGAGTGAGAACCCGGAGATACAGGACTGCCTTCACTTCGCGGACAAGAAGTACGATGACGGGCGAGACCTGAGGCCCATCATCAAGCGGGTCCTGGATGCCATTCCCGATGACACCCCGATGGAGGATGCCGATGGTGAGGCCGAGCCTGAGACCCAGACGTCCGAATTCATTGCATATCTGTCTCAGATCGCGACTGAGGCTATGAACGCCGGCAACTACATCTCTGGCGTCAGCATCCTCTGCTCTATCGGCCACCGAAAGCCACCCATCATTGACCAGCACATCCCGGCTCTCATGAAGGCCCTCCAGAGCAAGCACGCCAGGGAGCACGTCCAGCATTACAGCTTCCTCGCGGCCCAGGCCGGTGGCCTCAAGCCGCAGAGCCAGGATGAGCTGTCGGCCCACGACCTAGAGATCCAGACGAGGATTATGATCAAGGAGATCCAGGCCGTTGCGCTGCGTATGGAGTACCTGGGCGATAACAGGCGGCCATTCCTCAGCGTTCTCGCCACCCTTGTGGAGAAATCGATGCATGTATCGCTCTGTGAAGAGATCCTGCACATGGTGGAAGGTTGGGTATTCCGGTCGGAGGGAACCTGGCCTACACTTAAGGAGAAGACCGCAGTTCTCCACAAGATGCTTGCTTTCGAGAACAGGCAAGACCCTGCCATGATCACCAAGTTTTTGGATCTCGTGATTCGCATCTACGAGGACCCCAAAATTGCTCGCACCGAGCTGACAGTGCGTATGGAGCATGCCTTCCTCATTGGAACCAGGGCTACGGATGTCGAAATGCGCAATCGGTTTATGAGCATTTTCGACAAGAGCCTCTCCAAGACGGCCAGCGCGCGACTGTCTTATGTCATCACCTCTCAGAACTGGGATACCCTTTCGGAGTCGTACTGGCTCGCACAGGCATCACAACTCCTTCTGGGTGGAGTGGAGATGAACAACAACATCCAGCTCAACGCCGAGGACTTCACGATGATATCGGCATCTACTCTCGCCATGGTATACAAGGATAAGGAGGCGCGAGAGCCCAGCCAGATGTCTGACGACAGGTTTGATGCCTTCATGGCCAGGCACCGACGCTTCATGGCCGAGATTGGCGACGTCAAGGTCAAGGATGTCGTGGAGCCGCTGATGCAGCTCCAGCACATTGACAGCCAGCTGGGGCACCAGCTCTGGGTTGCGCTTTTCCCCATGTTCTGGTCGGCGACGGCCAAAGATGAGCGGACGGACCTAGAGAGGGGTATGGTAGCCTTGCTGACCAAGGACTTCCACAGCCGCCAGCTTGACAAGCGCCCCAACGTGGTGCAGTCGCTCGTGGAGGGCGCGACGAGGACGTGGCCCTCGTGCAAGCTGCCACCTCACGTGTTGAAGTTTGCGGGTAAGACGTATGACACTTGGTACACGACCATGGTGCATCTTGAAAAGTCAGCCATCAAACCTGTCGTCGACTCTGCCAAGGTTCAGGAGAGCAATCTTGATGCGCTTGTTGAGATGTACGCGAACCTCCAGGAGGAGGATTTGTTTTACGGGACATGGCGTCGCCGAAGCGAGTTTGTCGAGACGAACGCGGCACTGTCTTGTGAACAGAACGGCATGTGGGACAAGGCACAGAAACTGTACGAGAATGCACAGATCAAGGCCCGTACCGGTGTCATTCCCTTCAGCGCGGCCGAGTACACGCTCTGGGAGGACCACTGGGTCCTGTGCGCACAGAAGCTCCAGCAGTGGGACATCCTGCAGGACTTTGCCAAGCATGAGAACCTCCAAGACTTGCTCCTCGAATGTGCGTGGCGCAGCCCCGATATGTGGCAGGAGGAGCAACACAGGGAGGCCATCGACAACATCATCAAGGGAGTCATGGATGCACCGACCCCTCGACGGGCCTTCTTCCGTGCCTTCATGACGCTCCTTAAGCTGCACAACAAGCAGGAGACGAGCCTACAGGACTTCCACAACGTGTGCGACGAGGCTATCCAGCTGTCCATCAGGAAGTGGCACCAGCTCCCTGTGCGTCTTACCAATGCGCACGTCCCGCTCCTGCAGAATTTCCAGCAGCTTGTCGAGCTACATGATGCCAGCATCATCTGTCAGAGCCTGTCGACGACGACGGCCGCCAACCTGGATGTGAAGTCGGGCGAGCTCAAGATCCTGCTTGGGGCCTGGCGCGATCGACTGCCCAACGTTTGGGACGACATCACGGCTTGGCAGGATCTTGTCACCTGGAGGCAGCACATCTTCAGCCTCATCAACCAAACATACCTCGGCCTGCTCCCCCCCCAGGGCCAGCAGAACTCCGGAGGTGCTTCCTCGTTTGCATACCGCGGCTACCACGAGACGGCGTGGATCATCAACAGATTCGCTCATGTGGCCAGGAAGCACAACCTACCCGAAGTGTGCATCAGCCAGCTGAGCCGCATCTATACTCTGCCTAACATTGAGATTCAAGAGGCCTTCCTCAAGCTCAGGGAGCAGGCCAAGAGTCACTACGAACACCCGGACGAACTGTCGAGCGGGCTGGACGTGATCAACAACACGAACCTCAATTACTTTACCGCGCAGCAAAAGGCAGAGTTCTACACGCTCAAGGGCATGTTCCTCGAGAAGCTTCACCAGAAGGACGATGCGGATAATGCTTTCGGAACGGCCCTGTACTTTGACATCGGCTCCGGCAAGGCGTGGGCGGAATGGGGCTACTTCAATGAGCGGAAGTTCACTGATGACCCGCAAGACCTGATGTCGGCCCGCCAAGCGCTTACGTCGTACCTGCAGGCCGCGGGGAGCTACAAGAATGCCAAGTCACGCAAGGTTCTCTCGCGCATCCTGTGGCTGCTGAGCTTGGACGATGCCAAGGGCACCATCGCTACGGGCTTTGATGATGTCAAGGGCGACACGCCAGTCTGGTACTGGATCACCTTTATCCCTCAGCTCCTGACGGGCTTGGGCCACAAGGAAGCACCGAGGGTCAGCCAGATCCTGGCCCAGATTGCCAAGTCGTACCCCCAGGCTCTGTACCTCCAGCTGAGGACGAATCGGGAGGACATGAATTCGATCAAGAAAAGCCACGAGGCCAAGGAGAGAGCCAGGGTTCAGTCAGCCGGAGCTAATGGCCTGCAGCCGAGCGGCTCACCGGCGCAGGTGAAGCAGGAGCCGTCCAAGGCTGACGGCACCAGCTCGTCCCGCCCGGGAACCGCGAACGGAGGGGGCGCCGACGCGCAGGCCAAGATGGAGGGCCAGGTCAAGGCCGAGGGCAACGATGCGGAGGCTAACAATGCCATGCCGGCCCCGCCCCTCAGCGGCCCCCTCGCGTCGGAGAAGAAGATGCCCTGGGAGCTGGCTGAGGAGATCATGTCGGTTCTCAAGACCGCATTCCCGCTGCTCGCGCTCTCGATGGAGACCATGGTCGACCAGATCCAGAAGCATTTCAAGTGCCCGCCGGACGAGGACGCGTATCGCCTCATCGTGGCACTGCTCAACGACGCGTTGGCGTACGTGAGCAGAGCTCCGGCTTCCTTTGCCAAGAGTGTCAAGCTGCCGTCGGCGACCGAGATTAACATCACTCGCTTCGCCGAGGCGGTCCTCCCTCCACACATCAAGAAGTCGTTCGAGACGGACTTTGTGAGCGTCAAGCCGACCATGTACGAGTACATCCACAAGCTCAGAAGGTGGCGCGACAAGTTTGAGGAGAAGCTGGACCGCCGGAACACGCGCATCGCTCTCGAGGCCCACTCGCCGCACCTCAGCGAGTTCAAGTACCAGAACTTTGACGAAGTCGAGGTTCCGGGCCAGTACCTGCAGCACCTGGACAAGAACCAGGACTTCATCCGCATCGAGCGCTTCCTGCCCAACGTTGACCTGGTGCGGACCATAAGTGCGTCGTACAGGCGCCTGAGGATGCGTGGGCACGATGGCAGCCTCCACTCCTGGGCGGTTCAGCACCCGGCCGGACGTCACTGCCGGCGTGAGGAGCGCATCTTCCAGCTGTTCCGTGACCTCAACCAGACGCTCAACCGGCGCAAGGAGAGCAGGCGTCGCGACCTACAGTTCACGCTGCCTCTCATGGTGCCGTTGGCGCCGCACATCCGCATGGTGCAGGAGGACATGTCCAACATTACGCTCCAAGGCGTGTACGAAGACCACTGCCGGCGCATGGGAATGTCCAAGGATGACCCGGTGCTCTTCACCATGGAGAAGATGCGGGGCATACAAGAGATGAAGACGGTATGTGATGATGCTGGTGCCGAGGGAAGAAGCGGAGAGACGACGGCTGACGATGGGACGATGCTACAGGCCAAGCCCGAGCAGATGGCAACGGCACGACTCGAGATATTCAACGCGATCCAGGAGAAGTGGGTGCCGCATACGTTGGTGCTCGAGTACTTCCAGCATGCGTTCCCCGAGTACGCCGAGTTCTGGCTGTTCCGACGGCAGTTCTCGTACCAGCTGGCGGCGCTGACATTCATGACGTACATTCTGTACATGCACAACCGGTTCCCGCAGAAGATGAACATTGCGCGGACGTCGGGCAAGATTTGGGGGTCGGAGCCCATGTCCTTCCTGACGTCGAACCGGCCGCTGCTCCATAACCCTGAGCCGGTGCCGTTCCGGCTCACGCCGAACCTGCAGACGATGATGGGTCCCCTGGCGACGGAGGGCATCTTTTCCTGCTCGATGATGACGATTGCGCGGGCTCTGACGGAGCCCGAGCACGAGCTCGAGCACGCGTTGACGCTGTTTGTGCGGGACGAGATGATATTCTGGTTCACGAGCAGCCACCGCCACGGCATCAGCGACACGCAGCTGCGTGACACGGTTCAGAAGAACAGCGACTCCATCGTCAAGCGAGCCGTCAGCCTGGCTCACAGCCCGTCGGGTAACCTGCCGGCCAACCAGACTGTCATTGACGCCATTGCCAAGGCGGTGAATCCCATCAACCTGGCACAGGCGGATGCCTTGTGGATGCCGTATCTCTAAAACATGATGGCGCTTTTTTCTTTTTTTTTTTTCTCTTCTACTACTCTACTCTGTTCTGTCTCCATCTTCCTTATTTCTCGATATATGGTCTCTTTTGAGAGACGGGTTCAAATATCTTTCCTGTTTGCTTTTATGAGCACGGCGTTTTATCTGTTTGCGTTACTCAAGGTGGAAGAGAGAGAGAGGGGGGGGGGGGGGGGGGGTGTGCTACTTGTTGCATGGAGGAAGAGACGCACAACAAACATGAAAAAAAGGGGCACAGATAGGATTTAGGGATGCCCTTGGGTTATATTTCCTACCTTTTGCATGACGCGTAGCGGTGATTGCCATCTGTAATGCGGAGCTGATCGTCATGTCTCTGTTGCTGTGAAATGTGAAGGCTGCCGCTACGAGGTCTGGTATCCAGTGCGGAAGCGTGTGGAATCGATGCGACGGACGTTGGGAGGTTGAGCCTATGACACTCTCGAATAACCTCCCCCACACTTTGCGGAGAGTGTGTGTGGGGCCGACGGGCGGCGGATATGTGTGGAGGTGGAGTCGATGGTCGACTGAACCAACAGAGCCGAGGTCTACGAAGCTTTCGGTGCCAGATGCGGAGTATGAGAGCCGCTGACAACACAAAGGTATCTGCGATGTAGCAGGATGGTGTGTGCAGTCACTGTCCGAGAGGGAGAGGGGCTGGGGTCGGAGGGGGCTTCTCTATCAACATTGGGGGAGGGGGGGGGAGAATGACCTGGAAGGAGTATCAACTCTCTTCACCTACAGCCAACATCACCATATCCCATACGATACATACCTTTACCATCATAACTTGAACTCGTCTACGATACGAGTGCAGCTTGAATAGCAATCGCAGAAAGGAAGCCACGCAGCATGGGAGACAAGATGGAAGCTACAAAGAGGCGGAAGCTCTGGGAGCATCCGAACCCAAAGAGTACGGCCATGTGGGCATTTATGCAGGAGGTCAATGAACGGGAAGGACTGAATCTCAGTGTACGTGCCCCACCCCTTGCCCTTTACATGTACATGACTCGCCATATAGAAGATGATGTAAGAGGAGCAGTGGCAGATATTGAGAGAGAGAGAGAGAGAGAGAGAGAGAGAGAGAGAGAGAGGAGCTGACAGGAGACAGACGTTCGATGACCTCTACAGATGGACATGCGAGAACCGCAGCCGATTCTTCGGGCAGCTGTGGGAGTCTCAGGGCCGGATCCACGAGGGAACGTACGAACGGGTAGTCGACGAGTCGATCCCCATCTCGAGCCTCCCACGGTGGTTTGAAGGGCTGAGGCTCAACTTTGCCGAGAACGTGCTCTGGAACAGCGGTGAAGGCAGCAAGGCAACCAGGTCGACGCTCAACAAGGAAGATGACCGGGTGGCCATCACCGAGATCCGCGAGGGCAACACGGATATCCGCAGCGTGAAGTGGGGTGAGCTGAGGAGCCGCGCGGCCGAGCTGGCGGGAGCCCTGGCAAGCAGGGGAGTGACCAAGGGTGACAGGGTCGTGGCCGTCGGAGCCCACAGCGTGCAGACCCTGCTCGTCATGTTGGCGACGCAGTGGCTCGGAGGCATCTTCAGCAGCAGCTCGACCGATATGGGTGTTGCGGGGCTGCTGCAGCGGACTGTTCAGATCGATCCCAAGGTGAGCTTCTCCTTCAATCTCCATCCTCCCTCTTCATCAGCGTGTACACACATACGCGCACACACACACACGGCCCGGGGCTGACGGGGATGCATGGCGCGACGTCAGCTTGTCTTCTTCGACGACGCCGCCCTGTATAATGGGAAAAAGGTAGATCTGCGAGACAAGATAGCCGGCGTGGTGCAGGGCATGAAGCAGTGCGGCAGCTTCCAGGGTATCGTGGCCATACGACGATTCGGCAGGCCGATGGACACGACCGGCATCGAGAGGACGGAAAGGCTCGAGGACTTCCTGGGGAAGTGGAAGGGTCAGGGGCAAGCCTCTGCGCCGCCCATCGTCCGCGTGGGATTCCAGGACCCGGCAGTGGTGTACTACTCGTCCGGGACGACGGGGACGCCCAAGGCCATCGTGCACGCCGTGGGGACGCTGCTCATCAACCAGGGAAAGGAGTCGAGGCTCCACCACGAGTCCAGCTCCGACGACGTGCACCTCCAGTACACCACCACGGGGTGGATCATGTACCTCAGCAGCGTGGGGCACCTCCTCGTAGGCGGACGCACCATCCTCTACGACGGTTCGCCGCTGGCCCCGGACGTGCGCGTGCTGCTGCGCATCGCCGAGCAGCAGGGCGTCACCATGCTCGGCACGAGCCCGCGCTGGATGGCCGAGCTGGCCAAGGCCGGGGTCGTCCCCCGGCGCGACTTTGACCTGTCCCGACTGCGACTCGTCACGAGCACCGGCATGGTCCTGCCCGACCAGATGTATGAGTGGTTCTACGATGTGGCTTTCGACCCCAAGGTTCACCTGTCCAACATCTGCGGCGGCACCGACATCGTGAGTGGCCCGTCCGGCAGAAGGAAGAAAGAGAGACGTTCGACCACTGACACGCAACCGTCACAGGCCGGATGCTTCGTCCTCGCCAACCCCCTGACGCCCGTGTACGTGGGCGGCTCCCAGGGGCCGTCGCTGGGCAACTGCGTCGCCGTCTTCGACCACGACCTCCCGGAGGGAAGCAAGGGGACGCCGCTCCCCCCCGGCAGACCGGGCGACCTGGTAGCCACGGCGGCCTTCCCCAACCTGCCGGTGTGTCTGTGGAACGACGGCGAGCCAGGGAGCGCCCCGGGACCCAAGTACCGCTCCGCGTACTTCTCGCGCTTCTCCGAGGCCTGGGCCCAGGGCGACTTCTGCCAGGTCGACGCCGCGACGGGCAACATGCGGATGCTCGGCCGGTCGGACGGCGTGCTCAACCCGAGCGGCGTGCGCTTCGGCAGCGCCGACATCTACGCCGTCGTCGAGCGCCACTTTGCCGCCCAGGTGCGCGAGAGCATCTGCGTGGGGCAGCGCCGGCCGCGGGACGACGACGAACGCGTCGTCCTGTTCCTGCACATGCGCGAGGGTCACAGCCTGGACGAGGCGCTGGCGGCGCGCATCCGGGACGCCATCGCCCGCGAGTTCACGAAGCGCCACGTCCCGCGCTTCATCTTTGAGATGCCAGAAGTGCCCGTCACCGTCAACGGGAAGAAGGTCGAGCTGCCCGTCAAGCACATCATCTCCGGACGCACCGTCAAGCCGAGCGGTACGCTGCTCAACCCCCAAAGCCTCGAATACTTTTACCGTTTCCAAGACGTGGAGAAGTTGGCCTCGGGTCCACAGGCCAAACTGTGAGGTGCACCGTACGGCTTGCATGGACAGGACAATGCACAAGCTGTAATTCATCAGCTGTTTCTCTCCTCTATCTTTTTCTTATTTCTTCTTGTGTTGAATGTTTTTTTTCTTTTCATCTTTTTATTCTCGTTTCTATTTTATCTAGTTATTTCTTCTCTTGCGCCTGTCAATATATCATGTTTTCCCTCATTGAACTACACACACACACACAGAGAGAGAGAGATAGAAAGACGCCGTCATTGAGCCCAGTCATAGCAATTAGTTGTAAGTACATGCAGTAGTAGTAGTAGTAGTAGTAGTAGTAGTAGTCGATGCTCATGATATAGACCAAGCATTAGCTTAGTTCTCGTCATCCGTCACCTCCATCATGCCGCTCTCGTCGTCGTCAAGCAGGGATACCCTCCCTCTAGTCCTCATGCGCCCGACCGTTTCCTTCCCCTTGTCGAGAATGCCGCCGCCAGGTGGCCGCCGTCGTCCGTTGGCGTCGGGGCGGCCGTTGACACGCAGCGAGGCTTGCAGCTTGCGGTGCTCGAGGTGGTTCTCAAAGTCGGCGAGGTGGTCGAGGGCGTCCCGGTCTGCTTCGCCGGCCAGGGTGGTGACGGCGCCGTCCATGAGGGCCGTCTCGTCGAGGGCGCGGTTGAGCAGCTCGGTGGCCATGGTGTCCTGCGGGTTCATGGCGAGGGCCTCGTGGAGGACGGCGACGGCGTCGTCCGGGCGGTCGAGCTCCATGAGGATGAGACCCTTTGCGCAGAAGAGGGAGGGGTCCTTGCCGCCGAGGCGGAGGACCTCGTCGAACTCGGCGAGGGCGCGGTCGAATATGCGGAGGCGGCGGAAGGCGTGGCCGAGGTTGGTGCGGGCGGCGAGCCAGGCGGACGGCTCGCTGTCGATCTCGTCGGCCATGCGGAGGGCCTGGGTGAAGCAGGCTACGGCGTCGCGGGGCCGGTCCTGGTGGTACTTGACCACGCCCATCTCGTTGAGCAGGAGGGGGTCGGTGCGGCACAGCGAGTGCGCCGTCTTGAGGAACTCGTCGGCCAGAGTCATGTTGTTCAACGCGTGGTTCTGCATGCCGAGAAAGACCTGGGGGAGGTGCGTGCCCATGAAGAGCCGGGCGGCCGTCGAGTAGGCCGAGATGGCCTGGTCGTGCTCGCCCTCGGCGGCAAAGGTGTGGGCGAAGCCGATCCAGGCGGGGCCGAAGTGGGCGTCCATCATGCTCGCCTTGGAGAAGTAGCGCCGCGCCTCGGCGATCCTGTCGATGGATAGGTAGTATATCCCGACGGCTAGCCAGGTGCACGGCTCCTCCGGATGAGAGTCGGCCAGGTCGTGGGATATGAGGAAGAGCATGTTGCGCATGCCCAGCTCGTACAGGCAGGCCAGGTGGACGGGGTAGATGGAGAAGTTGTACTTGTCGGCCTCGAGGATGGCGCTCGTCATGGCGAGGGCATCCCGGTACCGACACTGCGTGTAGAGCACGTCGGCGCGCGCCAGCTGGAGGTCCGGGTTGTCGCCCAGCCGGTAGTGCGTCGACAGCGAGTCGTACGCGCTCTCAAAGGCCTCGGGGTTGCGGTATTTTGACAGCCGCGTCGTGTACAGCATGCGTGTGAAGTCGGCCGCCTCCTGCTGCACTGCCGCCGGCTCCCCCGCAGACACGTGCACCGAGTCAAAGTTGAGAGACTCGAGAAAGGTCCACTCCTCCTCCGGAGACAGGAGCGAGTTCTTCATCAGCTGCTGGAAGGCCTCGAAGCACTGCACGTCGATGCGCACGGCATCCTTGTAGCACTCCTTTGCTCGGTCGAATGCGTTCTGCTTGGCGTAGCATATGCCGCGCAGGAAACACATGGCCGCCTCGAACCGTCGGTCCGCGGCCTCCTCGGCCGTCGTCGCCGTCGTCGCCATCGTCGTCGTCGTCGTCGTCGTCGCCGCGGAGTCATCGTCGTCGTCGTCTGCCGTCCCGTCATTACTGTTGGTGACCATGATCCGGCGCCGGCCCGCTGGCTGTCGAGAGAGCGTCGGCTTGGACTTGCTGCGCTTGTGGCTCGGCCCCCCCTGCGAGATGAGGTGTGTCGGGTTGCGCTCCCCGAGGATGGACAGCGCCTCGTCGAACCGTGACTGTTTGATCAGGCAGTGGCCTGCTAGGTATCGGCATGCCGGACTGCGCGGGATCAGGTCCTGCTTCAGCAGGAACGCGTGCGCCCGCGTGTAGTTGCCCGTAGCAAAGTGCACCTGGGCGAGCCAAAAGGCGTCGTTGTCGTCATCTGGGCGTGTGGGTGCATGTTAGGCTTGGGGGATGCTGAGGAGGCAAGAGAGGAAGTAGAGGCTGTCAACGTACTCGTCAGAGCGAGCAGCTTGTCGCCTATGAAGATGGCAGAGTCGTATTGCGCCTTGTTCAGGGCGTCCTGCCTCCATTCCCGTAGAAACTTTTCCATGATGAATCGCGTGGTCGCATGGGAGGGGATAGAAGAGGAATGGCATCCAACGAGGATACTATATGCAAAGAGGCGAAGAAGAAAGAAGAGAGAAGAAAAGCAAAGCAGAGGAGAGTTGTGTGTCAAGGACAGAATAACACCGAGATCTTCAATCTTCCCACGTCATGAGATACAACAGGGACAAGGCACCTGTGAAAATGTCGCATGTGGCGTGGTGTTTAGTTTCGGGCAACGTCATGTTGAACTTTTCCAGGACGCGACGGCTACGCGCTTCACCTCCAAGGCGGCGGCGGCGGTGGTCATTCAGGCAGCGGTCCAGTGAGAAGAATCATTACAGGGTAGGCGGTTGGGACTTGGTGCTGAGGAGAGGAACTTTAGAGGCTGGGTCCATTGTCATCACGGCCATTCTCAGTGGCGGGCCGAAGTTCGGAGGGGCAGTTTGGTGGGGTGCTCGGCTTGCGAAAGAAGAAAAGAAAAAAAAAGAGAAAAAAAAAAAAAGGGTAACAGTTGAGCCTCCATCATCATCTCTCTCTCTCTCTCTCTCTCTCTCCATCTCTGCGTTTCCCAACTCACTTGTCGAGCGAAAGAAGAAGAATATACGGAAAAAAAAACATCATCGTCAAGAAATACCACACGTACAATGGCTACTGCTCAACGTTGGGCCGCTCTGGCCCGCGACACCAACGAGACCAAGATCCAGATGGCCCTCAACCTCGACGGCGGTGCCTTCCCCCCCGAAACGGACGAGCGTCTTATCAAGGGAGATGGCAGCCATGCCTCCCAGTCGAGCAAGTCGCAGACCATCGCCATCAACACGGGCATCGGCTTCCTGGACCACATGCTTCACGCCCTAGCCAAGCACGCGGGGTGGAGTCTGGCCATTGAGTGCAAGGGTGACCTTTACAGTAAGATCTTTTCCCCTCTCCTCTGTTATATATATGTTGATACATGTATCTTTCTATCTATCTATCTATATATGTATATATATATATGTGTGTGTGTGTGTGTGTGTGCGTGTGTGTGTGTGTGTGTGAAAAGACTACCATGTACGGCAAATACTCACCACTGCTCCCCAACAGTTGACGACCACCACACCGCCGAAGACGTCTGCATCGCCCTAGGATACACCTTTGCCCGCGCCCTCGGCACGCCCACCGGGCTCGCCCGCTACGGATACGCCTATGCCCCCCTCGACGAGGCCCTCTCGCGCGCCGTCGTCGACCTGTCCAACCGCCCTTACAGCGTCATCGAACTCGGCCTCAAGCGCGAGTTCCTCGGCCAGCTCAGCACCGAGATGGTGCCTCACTGCATGCAGAGCTTCGCCCAGGGCGCCCGCATCACCCTGCACGTCGACTGTATCCGCGGCGAAAACGACCACCACCGTGCCGAGAGCGCATTCAAGGCCCTCGCCGTGGCCACGCGCATGGCCACATCCAGGGTCGCCGGTAGGGAGGGTGAGGTTCCCAGCACCAAGGGTACGCTGACGGCTTAGAGCTCTGGTGGTGGTGGTGGTGGGGGGG